CTCCATGTAACAGTGATATCTAACCACCTACCTAGTATATAGTTTTTGCCCAATAGCTTACTCTTTGGGCTGTAGAGATGGCTCAGTAGGTGAAGGGATTGTTGTGCAAGTGTAAAGTCCTATATAGGTCTGTATTCCCAGAACTCATGGAAAGCAGAGTACAGAGACACAGAAATGTAATCAAATTCCCCTATAGTGAGGTGGAAAGTAGAATCTCCTGAAGTTCACAGACCTGGCATCCTGGTGAACACAGTGCAAGCAACAAAAGAGAGGCCCAGTCTTAGACCAAGACTCTAGGTTGTCTTCTGGCATCTGTGCCTGTGTCTTGCTTTGTGCAGGTTATCGCTGTAGCAATGGAGAGGCTAAGCGGGAATATACATTTGCGTTTCCGGTCTGTATTGGGCATCATATTATGTCAGCCACACTTCTGGGAGACCTTGCCAAACATACACAACCTGATTCATTATTCAGTACTAAGAATCCATAGTTTATATTTTAATATTTATGGCTTTTAACTAACATCCTGGGAAAAAAGTAGAGAAAGTATTTGAAGAGTCAATTACATCATAAAGGTTCTGTGCCAAGTGTACTGGATTGCAGAAAGGAGATTTAATGTGGATAGAAAGAAAGGGTCTCATTCTTACATTCCTAGAAGAGATAACTAGAAGAAACTGGTCAGCAATCCCTACAGAAAGTGGTTGTGGAAAATGCTCCAGGAATTTGCATTCTGGGTTGCTAAAAAACAATGATGTCATCTGGTAGAATATCTTAGCAAGCAAGTGAAAGGAAAGACAGCAAAAGTGAAATCCCACTTTGAGTTCAGATTGATGCAGTTACTGCAGAAACAGTATGTTGCTGAAGATGGTTCAGAATGTGCATGGAGATGGGTTTCAGAGACCTAAGTATGATGATAACCGAGACTATGAGGGAATGTTATATCACCAAGAGAAGAAAATAAATGCTTTTGAGAAATTGAAGATTTCTGGTTTCACTTTCAGTGTCCAGAATGACCAGAGAGTGATGAGTCACAAAAGGAAATCGTATAACAAATTTAGTCAGCAAAAGAAATTGTAAATAGAAGAAGGAAGTTTACACTTACAGTGAACTAAGATATTCACAGGTTGGAAGTACCATTTTGTACAAACTGGGCAATGGTTAAAAAGTTTATTCATGGTCAAGTATATGATAAATAAATATCCAGGATGTCTATAACTTCCTGGCCACTCAGTATAATTTCCCTTAATGAATTTTGAAAAATATCAGTATAACAATGGTGGAATATGAAAATATTTTTCTTGGAAATAAATAAAGCATATAGAATATAAAACTAAATGGAGTTTTCCTTGCTATACACTTGATTATTAAAATCACTGCCGTCTACTTATGCCAGTAGTTACTCCTATACTACAGGAGCAATCTGGTCAGAATTGTCTTGAATTTGTTTTTAATGAGAATGAAGTTACAAAAAGAACAGATTTTTTTCTGAATTTGTTGCATTCTCTAGTGGAAAAGGGTAGTCTTAAATGTCTTAAATGAACATATCCTAACTGCTCTCCTGTCATTAATATACAGAAGCCTAGGAAAAGTTCTGCAGACATTCCAAAGAGAAGTAATTTTTAGTATTTTTAAACTTTTAGATAATTCTGTGTTTTGCCTTGAAGAATAGTTGTATGGAAATATGGATTTCAAAAATGCCATAAGAGTGAAATATTTCACTTCTAAGATAGCATTTTTCTTCCATTTTTCAAAATTCTGAAACAGGAAATATACCACCCTCAGGTTCAGAGTTTCTTCTTTTGTTGTTGACATTTTATCATTAAGCCAACATTTAAATGAATTATTTGACCTACTGTTTATCACAACATTTAGACAGTTTTGTTTTTTTTTTTTTGTCACCTAATGTAAGCCGAGTCAAAAAGAAAGAATGTTTCAAGAAGAGTCAATAAGTAGTTCAGAAAGATTACAACATCCCATGAGTTTACTTCCTTGTTTTACACCATCCAGTTGCAAGAATAGCAATATACCAATGGGCTGGGATTAAGTGATTTAGTAATTTCCTGAACCTACTATTTTGGTCATAAATCATCTAACCTCTACTCATATTATTTAGTGAGTAATGCTCCTAAAGAAAATTAAGACATTTTCCCAAATCACATAGATCTTGCAAATGGAATATTTAGATACTTTTGATCAGATGTGACTCAGTGTGTTCAGGTTTCAAAATGGTCCAGAGAGCTACCAAAGATTCCAGATAAAATTTTCCATGGAAACAGAAAGTCAATACTCAGCTCTTATGGTTTTCATATAAGATGTTATTACTTTGTATTTAGCTGTCTAAAAGAAGTCCTGGTTGTAAAAGGGAGTCTGTAAGATACTATTACATTATCTTCCAAATGAGATTTAAGTAAATGTGAAGAGAGTTTGTGTATGCATGTTGGGGGGAAAAGTGATACCAAGTACCATAGAAGATTGTAGTTGGTGTGAATAATCAAGTACTGTAGAAGATTCTAGTTAGTGTGAATAGTCAAGTACTGTAGAAGATTCTAGTTAATGTGAATTAGCCAAGTACCATAGAAGATTGTAGTTGGTGTGACTAGTCATGGTCTGTAAAAGGTCCCAGCTGGTGTGAATAGCCATGCCTCTAATGGTAATTATGTAAGTATTGCAGAAATTAGAGCTGTAGTAGCTGGGATGCAGAGGAGTCTGGTTGTTGTTCTAACAGTGAATTAAAAGAAATAAAAAACTTGGTTAAACTGAAAGGGAGTAAATTCACATCTTTAATGATTAAAGTAGCGATAATGGTTATATCCTGGCTATAAGAAATTACATAAATAGTATGTTTACCCATTTTTTCTTTATGTATGCTGACTAGATAGAGTACAATCTAGCTAATTTTTGTTATTATTTTTCTGAATCTTCCATTGTGACTTTAATACTTATTGCATAAGTGAACATTCACTGTACTTTTCCATTGTAAGCTAGCTGAAGTCTCATAATTTGTTCTAAAGTATTTTCCTATTGTTAGTGTTTTATATTCAGCTTTTCACAATACTGTTTCTTACAGAGTAACTAATACTATTGTTGAATGTTGACAATAGTCAATGAACTTTTACATCAATAATAATTCCATGGACAATTTGCAGTGGGGAAATTCAGTTCTGATACATGTAGGTTTTCAAAATGTGTGGAAATGTAGACTGAGGGAATAAAGGCATAGACATCTGGGATGTTTGCAAGTGGTGGTTGGGGTGGAATAAGGAAGGACCGCTGAGCTTGCTAGGCAACTCACAACCTGCATTATTGGGGCTGACAATGAGCAGTGTGTTGACACAGACTAATATTTCTTTCTTTCCTTTTTGTATTTTGTAATGGTCTGAATGAGAATGCCCCACTTAGGCTCATAAATTTTAGCCCCCAGTTGGTGGCTGCTTGGAAAGGATTGGGAAGAGCTGTGGTCTTATTGGAAGAGGTGTGTCTGTCCCAGATATTCTTTCTGTCACTTGGTTGTGTACTGAGATGTGAACGCTCAGTTCCTGCTCTAGTAACATGTCTGGCTGCTGCCATGACTGCCATGTAGATCATCATAGACTCACCTTTCTGAATCTGTAAGCCTCAAATAAATTCTTTGTTCTATAAGTTGCCTTGGATATGTGATAGGTAATGTTTTAGTTGGAGGGATGCTAGGGGAGGAGGGGAAGGATAGGTAACTGGGATTGTCATGTAAAACAACCTTGTTTCTAATTCAAATAAAAAAATCTGCAGAAAAAATAAGTTACCTTGGTTATGGGCCATACCATAGCAACAAAAAAGAAGCAAATACATTTGGATCTGATACAAAGGTCTGTTCCAACTCTAGAATAGTAGATCTATTGGAAAGAAGAAAACATGCAGATGTAATAAATTCATTTGCACAGGGATTTCCTGAAACTCTTTAATTACTGACATTCACAAAAAAGATACAGAGAAAATTTACTGAGTTAGCCATGCACTGTTGGTTGAATTTGAAAGGAGACTAAGAAACAATTACCTTGAAATGTAGCAATAATTAAGTTAGCATTATCTGAGGTTGCTACATTAATGGAAGATGATATCAATAACCCTCCCAAAATAGAACTTCAGTAAAGGATCTCTTCCTGACTACAAACTATGAACTGTATTGGTCAACACTGGCTTATCACTCTAGTCTTTGAACATACTGTTATGCCACACACATATTAAGTTTACTATATTAAAGAAAATCAATTACTCTATCCTTCAGTCTATTACAGTGTAAAGCTATTAAACATTTTATCAGGAAATTGCAAAGTACAGCTTTGAAATTCTTTACTGTTGGTAAGCTGTCATTATTCTAGCCCTTACTAGCTATTTACCATTAGTTTGCAAAATCTTCCATTCCAAATTTCATCATAACCTCATTAACACTGCATTACTGGTGAAGGATACAGTTTGAGAGATGATAATAAGTTATAAAATAGCAAATATTTTCACAGGGAAGGCTGATCTTTTGTCTCTTCTGTTGAAATCTTTCCATGATGTAAAAGCACTCTGAACATTTTTTGTAATGCCATCTTTCCCCCTGTGGCATTTACTCCTGCTTTAAATATAAAATAGACAGAGCATGGTCATGCTTTCTTTTGAGGTGTGTTTGGGATTACTTGAGAGGTACAGCGTGTAGCTGTTGAAATGATAATCCCCAGTGAAATATATCTCCGAAGACTGTGGAGCTCAAAGAGAAGTGACTAAAGAGAGACAGATGGTGTTTATAGTACATTTAAAACCTCAGCATTTACTTGAAAACAGGAGGACTCCAATCCTTGGCAGTATCCCAGAACCAAACTATTTCCCATTGATTGGTATGAATCACTCTCCCTCCTTGGTGCCTGTGCTTTCTCCACCACATACACGCCACTTAAGTACCAACAAATCTACAATTGACCTTTTCACAGCTCTATACAGAGATGCCTACCACGGGTTTCTAATCCTCATCAATTTCTTTCCAGACTGAGCTTTTTGTACATGCCTTCAAGGATCAGCTGGTCAGGAGTGCTCTTTTAGCTCTCTACACTGCAAGGCCAGGAGGTATCCTGAAGAAACCCCCCTCTCCTAAGGACAGTGCAGAGAAGACTAGTCCCCAGGATGAGCCCCCTCAGCTGAGAAGACAGGACTCGATACCACATCATTCTGACTATGATGAAGAAGAGTGGGTAAGTCTTCTTGCAGCATTTGCTCTCATGGTTTAGCCCTAAGAAATACAGCAAGCGTAATAAGAAAGCTCCATTCATATATTGGAAACCATTCACAATAGGTGTGAATCTATACAGCACACTTTACCATAAGATCAAGTTGCATGTGAAAGCTGTATCCTTGAGCAAATTTATTTGCTATAAATATGTATTTGTTATCAAATAAATCATGTATAACCAAGAATAAGTCTTAACTTCATTTATTAAAATTACAAAATCCTGTAATACCTTTATTACTCATTTCCAAGCTAGAGTTTTAAAACTTCTTCTTCAGAAGAGTGATAAGTCATCTGGGTGGTGGTTACTCATGCCTTTAATCCCAGCACTCAGGAGACAGAAGCACCTGGATCTCCAAGTTTGAGGCCAGCTTGGTCTACAGAGCAAGTTCCTGGATAGCCAGGGCTACACAGAGAAACCCTTTCTTGACCCACCCCAGCCCTCCAAAACAACCCATGTCGGCCCTAGTGGAATACAAGAAACACAAGTAAGTGTTTCTAGTTAGATTTATTTATATGTATATTTAAAAAACTTAATTCATGTTTAAGTGAGAGTGAACATGAAGATTTCTTAAATCCCATCGTCTGGTGATTCTGTAATTAGACAGATACTGGTCACAGGGCTCTGAAATCATATTCCCTATGTATGTATCTTCATAATAACTGGTAAAGGTAAATTAACAAAAGAAGCAAAGGTTTGAAAGGAACTCTAGTAGAGAGGGACAGGAAGCATGCAGAGATCTGGAGAACAGTGTGCTATTAAGGAGATTGCATACTAATCACCCAAGCGCCTCTGTGGTATATTTATACAAGCGTGTGCTCACACACATGTGTATGTGCACTGGAATCCTTTTGTTGTATAACAAAAGAAGTGTGCTAGCCGCACTACATGTTAAATTTTTAGCTAACCATTCTTTTCTCACTAGTCTGGAATTTAATCGTGTTTAGGGTGAGCTGTTTGAGAGGTCCAGGTCTCTGAATCAGTGTGTGAGGGCCTATGAGACAGCAACTGATCTTTATTTCAATAAAATTACGACTACAGGAAACACCTACAGGCTGCCGAGGTATGTGCTGAGTCAGTGATGTTGTCGCTGATGAAGCTTGTATTTCCCACATGACAGCATTTCAAAAGAACAAGTCAGATATTTCTTCAATTTACCTTCACCTTCCTCACTTTATTCGCAGCACCAAGATGTGCAGACCTCTTAGCCTCTCTGAAGTTGAATTTTCTCAGCTATAAAATGAAAACTGTATCTGTTCTGCTTAGCTCTCAGGATAGATGTACAATAAGTGGTTTATCTGTAGGTGATGCTTTCCTGCCTGGACAGGCCTCATCAGAGTCAGTGATGATGTATTGATATGTCCTTCTTGGTTAAAATATGTGGCTTATAGTCTTATTATGACAACCAATCTATTCTGAGAGACCTCTAGTTGTGATATATGTATATATCCATAAATAAACAAGAAATATATGTAGAAATTAGACATTCACATATGTGTGTGTCAGGCATATATGTATTTAATAAAATATGGATTGTGAATTTAAAGAATTTGCCAGGCATTGGTGGCACATGCCTTTAATCCCAGCACTTGGGAGGCAGAGGCAGGTGGATCTCTGTGAGTTTGAGGCCAGTCTGGTCTTCAGAGTGAGTGACAGGACAGGCTCCAAAGCTACACAGAGGAACCCTGTCTCAAAAAAGCAAAAAGAAAAAAATTAAGTAGACATAAAAAGGAAATTATTTCACTTAATTAACCAAACAAATTTAACCTTTTGAGAAATAATTACCATTTTTATCCTAAATCAAGTAAAAACCCTTGAAATGCTTTCCATCATTTTCTTCTACCACTTTGTGATCCCTGCCACAAAGTCCTACATTTCCCACTATGTAAAATTGGCCTTCCCCATTCTTTCTTCCTTATTTTCTCTTTCATGGATAATTTCTGAAGTATTTGAAACGGGAAGATTAGCCATGTTAGGTCCTCACCTGAGGCTCAGAGTGTTACAGAAGCTAAAACTCATGAACAGATATAAAGTGTTGAAACAAAGCTTGGGCTATTGTGTGATAGCCTCTGGTAATAAGACTTCATTCGACTCAGTTTGACTTTGAAGTCTCAAGTGTACAGAGAAGAGACAGAGAAATGTCATTGTATGGGAAGGTTTACAGAGCCTGATTGACCACGCTGCACACTGGCAGCCCTTGAGGACACCCTAGGGCTTCCTAGAGGCTACAGCATATTCAGAAATCTAAAAAGACAAGTGGCTATTGTATAAAACAGCCTTAGAGGCCCAACAGAACAGTGCAAGTGTGTGATGCTCAGAGTGAGGGCTTTGGAAGCCACTCTGGAAGTGGGCATGGGAGCAGAAGTTAACCATTCCCGAAGGAGGGCACAATGTTGACCTTTGTGGAGAGAGGTCACTGCTATAGACACAATACATAGATATATCTGATTCGTACTACTTTTACTTGTTTTTGTTTGTAAATTGATGAAATTTTACCTCAGGTATAATGGAAGGACCATTTGGGAAGTAGAGGTAGAGACAGACAGCTCTAGGCCCTCATAGAATGACAAATCAGCTCACTTCTCATTTGAGGAGTCCTAGAAGAAACTTGTTTTTTTTTTTTCAGTTGAGACATATAAATTACTTAAAAGAGCTTTGGTGAGATGGTCTGAACTAGATGGGCTCCTTTGTCCTTTCCACATAAAAGAGGGCCTTGTGCTGAGGGAAGGACATAAGGACAATGGAAGAAAGGAAAGGAGAAATCTTAAGAACTTTTTGATGCAATTTGAGCAACACTTGGAACCAAAACCAGGGGTTCCATCCTTGTGTAGGAACCAGCCAATGGTCTACATAACATAGCTCCCTGCTCCTCGCAGACCATTCTCTGGAAAAGGTAAAGACGTGTTGATTGTTTCCACAGTTGACAGACTGTCTTCCACGTTTCCCTTGGTTTTCATCTTGAGCATAATAGGTCTGAATGTCTCTGTGTCCCCCTGAAAATTAGAATTTCCTCCTGAAGTCATTATTTCTTGAAATCATAGAAATAGTCCATCCAAGTCTAACAGAAGGAAACTCTCACTTAGTAAGTTCTAACCCTGTCCTCCAAATATTTTTCTTTGTTTGTAAACTATTATTGTGAAGGTCACATAGCATTCTTACAGATTTTCCTCAACAGTCACTTTCTAATAAAAATATTTCTCTGCCAAGAGATTTAATCTCCTTAAAAACTCAGCAGTAATAGTAGCCATGTACTATATTATTTTCAAAATGTTTTTTACCTCTAAGCAATGGGGTAAACCTGAAAAAAAATGTAGATAAATGAAATGTCTGAGAGATGGCGCTGGGGAGTGATTTGGATCATACCCTTGCCAAATTACTTTTCGTAATTAGTTATTAGAAAAGTGTCAGTATTGATTACTAATATAGTCAAATTATGAAAGTAATTCCAGGTTTAAAATGAATGCAATCAGGTGTTGATGACATATGAAGATATCCTCTGATCTGGCTTGGATTCGAACTAAAGCTGTACAGGTCAATTTGCTGGAAACCCTGCTCCCAGTCATTCACTGAAACAACCACTAATATATAAACATTTCTCACAATAAACATATGGGGATTGAATACATCTTAGTAAATTCCTTTTGCCTCCATTTTTGTACATCTCAGACCTTTTGCTTTGTAGTTATGAAAGAGAATCTCTGCTAACACCACATTTTTTCCTGAGGCTGTTCTGGTTTCAACTGGCTCCACTGAGGAAAACTGATGACATGGATGCGGATCCTAATTATCAAATACATACAAGAAAAGGTGAAACTGAAATGAGTGATAAAAAAGAAAAACCCTGCCTGTTATTTGCTAAACATTAGTTATTAAATGATTGACTGCCCTATGGGTTTATTTTCCTGAGAAGTTAGTAAACAATTAAACCCTGATGGAATTTTTGGGATTTCATGACAATCTATGCTAGGAAATTGACTAACACAGCACCCTTCACCTCCCAGCCAGTGAAGATGACATATTGCATTTCTCTCTGAACCCTGCTAGAGCAGATGCTTCCAGCAGCTGGGATCCCAAGATTAGTTTGTCCAGAATTTGAAAGCACATCATCTAACCAAACTATTAGGCTGTCCCAGATTTTGTGGCTTCAGTAATTACACTATTCTCTACAGCATTGTGAGTTTAATTCCAGCATTACTATTGGTGGGTTTGGAGCCAAATCTGGCTATTCCTACTCAAATAAATTGTTTAAAAACTGATCTTATCATACTTTAAATTCTCATCCATTCTAGTGGGGCACACAACTAGCAAAACTGTTATTATTGGAAATATCCTAAACTGTCATTTTAAATTGAATTATATTTCAGCATTCAAATTACCCAACCGATTTCCGCTTCAAGTTATAGTCATAAATTAATGTTTATTCTGGGAACAAGAAGTTCCAGTATGTTCTTCCTGAGAAGGTTGGCTATTGAAAACAGTAATGTACACTGTATATTTCTAAAATGCTATAAATGTTAAAAGTTTCACCATGGAGCAAATAATTAAGGTTTAGGAGAATGTGTTTTTAACTCAACATGTATATTCTAATCTTTTTTAAGCTAGAGCACATTTTCTTTTCTGGATTAAGATAAATGTATGTATGTTTACATAAAAAACAGCTGTCATATTTAATTTATAGTTAAATCCATAGCAACATTCATATCAAATATCCTATAATCAGGTCCATATATGTAATCTGAAAATAATTTCAGGCTTCTCTGTAACTCAATGATGCCAAATACTGTGCTTTGGAATCAGATTTCTATGAATGTCTTTCTGATAGGGTTCTTACTAACTCTATACAGTGACCTTGTCTACTGATATCTGGAACAAACATAAATGTTTAAGACTGTGAGAGTATTGCTATATTTATGTTGCCCTAAGTAGTGGAAGTAAGGGTAGATACTTGTAAAATGCTACAAGCT